ATTTAATACCTGAAATTTTGCAAATGTTCCGAACGTTTTAGGGGGTCATTTATTTCTCTAGACAATATTAACCCTCGCGCATCGACAACCCACTCCCGCGGCCGGATACCAAAGAACATTGAATATCGGCATTTAGTTTCTTCGACCGACGCCCCTTTTACGAGCGATACCCATTGTGACGCGGGGGGCCGATTCGTCCATTTGCCGATCCGCCTTTATGCTCGCGCGTTTCGGAAAGCCAACGGAAAATAATGGAGTTCCAGTCGATTCGATAAACGCAATAACAAACGCGACGGGAACGTTGCGAATGTTCGATGGCAACCATCACCATTTCCACCGATGCCATCGTCCCGCCATTGGTGCAGCAATGCGGAAATGCATTTTCGAGAGGATGCATTAAAATTATCACTTACCCGCGTTGCAATTATTCAATGCGGAGCCAGACGAAATTATTTGCTCTCGAGTTTTGATTGAAAACCCAACCGTTCGGGTACGGAAGAAATTAGACCCAACGAGAGAATAAAGTTAGGCTCGTACGTTCTTCATTATAGGAACCCTTAATTATTTAGCCACGAAAACACTAATGGACAGGCGTTTTCTTCCGAAAGGTGCTTATTATCAGGGAAAATTTTTCGAATTTGTCAACTTTGACATTAGGTCGAACTATGGATGCACGACGTAACAGTTGCCCTCGAAAGCACCATTAACCGACAGTAAGCACATTTCTCTCCTAAATTTCAGAATTACTACATGGGCTCCTCAGTTCATTAGTCATTCCTTATGTGACTAACGAAACCTGAGAGGCTGGTAAGGAGATCGAAAGAACGTGGACCGACACAGAGGGGTGGTGGATTCTAGTGGGATGGTTCCTGGAGGTGGCGTCGCGATGCCAGGGTGGGAGGGGGAGGAAGGAGGAGGAGGTGGCTCGTAAAACGCCCTCGTAAAAATATGAGAACTCGGAAGCATACTTTCCATAAATTAGGTATAGCGCTCTCGCGTCCTGGGAGCTCGTTCGATTTCGAAGAAAAAAAATTCTAGAAAACGGAAAAAAATAGTAGGGAAAGAATTTTTCACGAGGTCCCGACGTTCGCTTCAGTCAATTTGACATGCCGATCTATATATATATATATATATATATATATATCAATTATTGTAAAATACGAGCATTTCCCAGGGTGAACTACCGTCATGTGGTAAGGGGGGTCGTGAAGCAGGGGGCAGTGCATGTCTGATGACTCAAACTATCGGCTGAACAACGAACTGCACTTTGCCTCCGTATAACTGAACACCGAGACCATATGAACTGGACGCACGACATTTGTTACGTAAAGCGTTAGTCGTGTCCAAGCAATTAAATGTGTAAGATCAGAGGGTCGTCGAGAATTCAGAGGTCACCGGGTATCGAGACAAAGGTAGAAGCTTATCAGCGAAGCCGAACGTTGGCTCTCTCGCTGGTCCTATGTCTGTCCCTATGCCGCACGTGTAAGTGGGACGTGACGCAAAAGTGGCAAGTGGAGAGTGGAAAGCGCAGCTGGGTTAAAAGTACCTTTCGGCACCGTAGAAAATAGTTATTACATTAACCAACTTTCTCCGGCCCTCCGATGAGGTTGCCAGGTACTCCCTTAATCCTCAATGACAATCCCAGCCTGGCACCCGGAGTGAAATGAAATAACCGAGTGAGAGGCAGGTGGACGAAGCGCGAACGAATTCGGTTTCACCCTCCGAGGCGAACCAACACGAAATAATAGGTTGCGTGTATTAGGAGGGAGCGTAGTAACGAGCGGGTTCAAATTTGTGTGCATATTAGCGGCTAATGTCGATGTGGTTTACGAAAATAAGTGAAAAGTTGACTTTTCTCGATCGATTTACAACTTCAGCCAACCGCGCAGCGGAGGAGGCCGATAGTCAAGCTTTTTGTTTGAATTGAGTAAACTATTAGCGGTCGGCAGGTTAATCAGGCGATTGCCTCGGCAATCGAGTCTCCGCGTGTAATCGAACGTAAGGGGAACTTCCATTTGGTGGGGAACCACCCTCTGACAATTAGGGGTCGCAAAAATCATAGCCGGCTGGGGGTCGTGGCAGGAGCCTAAGGGTTGATGAGGGAATCACTGTGGAAGTCTGTTTGGTTCGTTCGAGCTGGTACCCGGTGAGGATAACCCAAAGGGGTGCTGAGGAGCGGGGGGAGGTGGGTGGTGTGTAAAGCCGCGAACACTGCAGCTAAACTAAATTTCGATATTGCCCTCTCTTAGGCGCAATGCAACCCTTAGTTGCCCTCTGTGGCAACACTGCGGTGCCCACGGACTATGCCTGTACCACGATGCCTGTACCTAACCCTCCTTCGGCGAGAAGAGGGATTCCAGACTTCCGCCACCTGCCATCTAAAAGATCCCATAAAATGAAACTAACTTTTTTTATTTTACAACCACCGTTACCCTCTTCGAGAGTACTAGGCCTACGGGTCGGTCTACCCTACTGTCGAACGTCCCTTGGGTTACTCGAACGAGACCGAGTCTATACTCTATGCTAATAAACTCGAAGAACACCGATCATCATGAACAATTTTGAAATACAATCCAGGAGTATCCTCCTGCGTCCTGGTATGGGGTAAGTCCTTTTTTTACGCACGTAGAAGTTTTCTGCCCCCAGGTGTACGAGGAAGACAAGACGTCCGTGTCACCTGAGGAAGCAGGTATTTCCCAAGTAGAAAAATCAATTGACTGGATGGTCTTGCTTAAGTTAGCCAAGCCTGAGGAATAGTGCAAGTATCGCGCTCGCCCGATTCTTACTTTTCCTTGTGTTTTCTTCGTTTAGCGCGAACGGGAGATTTAGAAGCCTCCGAGGAAATCTCAAGCTGGAGTTCCAGCTTCCCCCCCGAAACGATCGTAGAAATATCCTATTAACTATGAATTGTCTCGCAGTTTCCCAATTGGCAATTCTCGCATGCATTTCAAGAGGAAAATCGGTTAGCGATTAGATATTAATTAAAAAGTAAGCGCCTCTTGGTCCCCCCCTTAAAGAAAATCCACGGAATTATTGGCGCGACCCGGTTACCGGAAATCCTGTCCCGTCCCTACTCGTCGCTTCGTTCCTCCTCGTCATCCAAAGGAAACTCAATCCTGTGCATTGAAATTGCCGAGGCGACTCCAGGCCCGACCCTCCCGCCTGCGAGTGGAGCTTGCGAGTACTTTCACTCCCTTGAGATTTTTCCGAAATTCACCCTGACAGATAGGCGCTCAATTTTCCCCAGACAGCGCAACGAAGTTCGGGAACATCAATGTCCCGGCTGTCAGTTCGTCGTGGTTAGGTTAGGTCATCATCCGCCCCATCACGAGGATTATTAGATTCTTTTAGTTAAGAAACTAATAACGCTACTGATCCCCGCTAGATCATTCGCCCTGAAAGAATGGCAATACCATATACATTAAAGCTAAGACTTCAGCCGATAAGTCTTCCTGTCTCGCCAGAGTGACCGTCGGGTCGGCGTTGCGTCCCACGTGTCAAATATGTCAACTAAGTCAAAGACACGTAACGCGCGCGCGTCAAACGTCCTAAAGTCCATAAAGCACTGTCACGTGCCAGTACACAAGTCCTGGGATCCGTAAGAGTCACAATGGTCAGAATAGACACTCTTGGGCCTGTCATGCTCGAGCGTCACGTCCCAAGTCCATAAAGCTGGGGCGCAATCGAGCTTGGAAGCTCGGTCCGCTTGTCCGTGCTTTAAGCGAATGGGCACGATAGTCGCAAAACGTTTTTTTCAGCGGGAGCTTTCACGCGTAGCTCGATGCGGTCCAACAAGCAACCGTCCCTTCGCTCTTCTCCTTGTCCTCATTGTCTCAGTTGATGTCAGTCACACGGAGAGAGACGAGCTTGCACAAGTACAGATACGTCGCACCTGATTATTTAACGAACACCGAAAGTTCGTTCGCGGACGCCTTTGATGCCATTGTCCGAAATCCAACGACGCCGAAGCTTTACGGATCGAAATGAAATAATGACGCGCGATTGGCTCGCTATAAAGCTCACCAGCCTGGCATTCGGGCAGTGCTTTTCAGGCAGTTTTCATGACCGCGGCGAGCGCCATGCTTTTCAGGCCGTATGGCCGCCGCTTCACGTTTATGGTAGACGAGCTTAAAGCACATTATTGCCCGGCGAGTGTATACGAGCTTTTTAAGCACTGATACGCGAACAACGCTAGCGCTGTTCACGCAGCGTTAGCTTACAAATTCGCTTGTTACCATTTATTCGCGTCGTTGCGAGAGCTTTCAAATTTTTTAAAAATAATAAACATAGTAATACTCTGAGCTTAATTCCCATCGTTTGCTACTCTGGTACTCTTTTTCCTCCTGCGCCCCAAGGTCACGGAAAGACTTTCGTGAAAAGACTTGTCGCACACGATGCTTTCGTGCAGCTTTGAGTCGTCCTGGCGATAAACCGCAAAGTAAGCTTTACGAAAGCGCTCCGAATCCCCGACAGCTTCTACCAGTTTTCTTATTGTCGGCGCGCGGACTTGAAAAGCTCGAAACTTTGCAGACAACTTAAAAGATCAAGGGCGACCGACAGGAGAAAACAGGTACAAGTACAGATCGTTTGATTGGGAATGATAAAAGTAACGTGAAGATATATGGAAACAAGTTAATCTACAAAAAAAAGAGAGAAAGCTCTAAATATTTTGAAAGCGTCCATCGATCGAATGCGCATTTACGTCAATCACAATTTGGAGCCTCTCGATATACATATATATATACACGTAACGCACGTCCAGGATTGTTTTGCACTGTTTTTCCACCCGACATTTTCACTAATGTCAATCGAGAGGCACTTCTCTCGTTAGTCCCACGTTTCAGGTTTCATTTCTGTCCGTAACAATTGATCAGTGTCCATCAGTCGTCCGATGAACAGCACCAAGGATAGTCCCAGCCAGCACGTAAGTGTCTTTTTCACAATGTTATAAAGTCCATTCCGAACGCGATTAATTTTTTTTTTAATAACTAATTACTCACCAGTCTGCGCAAAAGTAAGGTTGATCGCCATCAACAGGACGAGGAAAATAGGAGTCATATTGACTCGCTTCCTCGCCTTCCTTCCGTCACCCGTCACTGCACTTAATAACCCCGTAGTAGCCACCTACGAAAAACAAATCACCCTTGTCAGAACATACCACCACGTTGGACTTGATTGAATGATGTAACGATGAGACGTCGACGCGTGGATATCGTCGACCAAGTGGAAGTGTAGTAGAAGTGGAAGCGAAGACACGACACAGATGAAATATAGAAGGGAAGTAGAAAACACGTGTTTCTTTTTTTTTTCTTTTTAAGGTTCTGAATATGGTACACGTAAAAGATATCCAAGTATTATATAACTCTCGGAGCTAGGAAACGGTTCCCTTATGATATTCAGAATGAGTCAACACTGTATGTGGATTTGATGCTACATGTAAAAAAATACTTTATCTTTACACACGAGACACTTGACGATATTCGCGCAATATTTCTTTGTATTCCTATAGCAGAATGTTCGACGCTAGTGCCATCTCGAGGATTTCTTAATAAAATAGAGCTTATTTTACACTGACATGTGCGCTTTCCAAGTTTCTGTTTATTCGATTAAGGGTTATACGTGGGTCCTGTCGAAGGTACGTAAAATATTGATAAAGCCGTTAGTAACGATTATCACTTTCAACACTTTTTTTTTTTATTTTTTTTCATTGGGTTTCAACACTGAAGTCGATGGGATGAAGAATTTTTACTCTTTTTTTCTTCTTGTTCTCCAAAGTAATACGAAGTTACACATTCACTTGGCTCAACTTCAACTTGACGCTTGACTGTGCTTCCTTATACTTTGATTATTATTGGTAAACACAGTCACTCCTTTGTATATGCTTTAAAACTATCTATGCATCTTCAACTTGATAACGTAATCGTAGTTCAAAGTGTTATTATTTCTCCCCTAGGCTATTACGGGATAAACACTATGTTGATATTGAGATTGGTGTCGATATTTTCGTAAAAGATATTTTTTTTCCCTTTTTTTCCCCTTTTTACTCAACAGTTCCTTCTCGAGTCCTGTTCCTGCGCTTCAGAGTCGCGCTTTTAATGAAGCTTCATCTTGGCGCGAACGATAACGCGATTATCTCGAATCTTTCTTCCTGTGATTCCACGACCATTCCATATTCGAGTATTTTTCAGTAGCTTCCCGAGTAGCCCAAATGGCTCTAGGATATTTTCTTACAAGCTTCTGTCATCGAAGCTTTCAATTTTGTTTTCCTTCCTAATCCAGCCGAGGGCGGCACTTTTTACAGTTTCAATTTACACTCGCAGCGAAGTCTCGGCGTATTTCTCCTGGATTCGAGTAAAGAAAGGACTTTTCACTTTACGTTTAGCTTCAACGTTCTTACTCGGCTAATGGCTATACAGTGGTATAATGCCTCGATAAAAGCTCGAGGGCGCTGCCGGATAGAGTGGAAGCTTTTTTCGCGAATTCTTCTGGCGACGTCCTCCTTCCGGGCACGTCTTTTAAAAACTCACACTAACGCTCGTTACTTTGACTTTTTCCAGTTTATGTTGGCCTCGTGGCAAAATGGCTCAATCTCGGCCTGAGTTTTTATTCGAGAGGACCAGCAGCATCATCAGCAGCATTCATATACATGGATGGACGTATGGGGGCTAAGGAAGGGAGGTCCACACGTCATTAAAGGAGAGGAACTGTAAGTACACAGACTTATATGATATGTTAAGAGTCTTTGAGCTTGTTGGCTGCGCAACTTGGTTGAAATTTCGAAAAATTCTCGGAGCTCCTCGTAAACGGGAGAGCCGGGAGGATAAGAGGATTTCTCAAGGAGAGACACTGGATTCACAGTGAATTTTAACGTTTTATCGCCGACAGTGATTTTACCAGCTTCGTTTACACTTTTACACGTATCGTCCTCGTAGTCTCGTAAAAGCGTTCCGGTACATAAAATTCCGGATTCATCGTTCCGTGTCTTTTCTCTGGCTCCCTTTGCTTTCCGACTTTCACACTCTTCTGTCGATTTTCCTCGAGAAGAGACTCTCGCGAGTCTCGGAAAAGCCGGACTGAGAAATAAGAATAAAAAAAAAAGCGTCTCTCTTCGGCCCTGGAATATTCCCAAGTATCTACGAGTCGGCCTACTCCGCGTCAGAGACCACGTTCGTCATAACTCAGGCCCTTGTTCACGTAAACTCCCTGGCGAACCTCGTGTCCATTTCCCGGCGTAGCATAACGATTCACTTATTTTTTCACTGAGCACATCCCCCTTCGCACTGTACCCGCACCCTGTAGTAAGGACGCACGTGGAAAGCGTCTCGCCTTATTCAATCTCAATAATTCGAAAGTCCTCCGAGGGAAAACATTGGCGACGGGGTGTTTCTTGGCGACATCGCATACCGGGTGTCGCGAAGGAATTAGAAAGCGGCCGCCGGGGATGTGAGCCCGCGTAAGGGTAGTTTTCTGAGCGCGCGCTGCGGCCTGACTGACTCACCCCCATACCCCCGCCGGCTGGCCTCAACCTCACACTCCCAGGACGTCGGGACGCCGACGCATGCGCCGTCTCCTTCGGACCACCACCTGAATTCGCGCCAGGGATGACGTCCTCTTTCTTGGCGACGTTCTCCGGTTCCATCCTTCTCTCCATTCCACTTCCGTATCTTCTCTTGCCAATAGAAAAAAAAAAAGAAAAAGAAAAACAGTGTTCCACTTCTTCGATTATCTTCGTGTCTCTCTCGCTCGAGTACGAGAACAAAAGAATTTTGAGTCCAGGCTCTCGCGAGTCGAATCGCCAGCAAAAAGAGTCCTGTGACGTAAAGGGCTCTCCGGGGTCTTTTTCCAGTTTTCCAGCGCGAAGGAAACAAGAGAGACACGCGTGAAGCTATACGACGCAGAGTCCACTTCAAAAATAACCTGGCCCAGCAACGGGGTCGACGTCTTCCTTTTCCCCGGAGTCCAGAACTCCAGGGCGACAGTCCGGACTCCTGGAGTATTCGTCGATTCCGGATGAGCGTCAAAAAGACCCTTTTCCTTTTCTTCTGCGATGCGTAACACGTAAAGCCACCCTGCGTTTCCTTTGACTGGAGCGTTTTAAAAATTTCATGAAAACAACCCCTCCGTGCACCAGCCCCCTCACTGCCGGCGAATCGTTCGATTTCACGCTGTAATTCCATCGGCCCTTTTTTTTTTTTTTTTCACAAAAATCTTTAACCTCGAACCAGCAAGTGAACCTGGGGAAGCAGAGCACGCGGTGGGGTTTGTTCGAAACAAGGAAAAAACCTACCCTTCCCCGAGTACGCGAAGCCTGCACCTGCAGACTCGAATCGTAGGGGTGGTTTCGGCGCTTAAAAGCGACGCATGCGTCCCCGCAAAAGTGGATGTCTGGGGCGAAGCCACGGGCGGGCGACGTATCGCAGTTTCTGGCTTGATGTTTGTCCGCGTGGTACTCCCAGCGACGCCTTTCCCGTGGGCGACGAGGCCGCCCGTTTCCATACGCCGACGTCATGGAAAGAGACGCTGGAGGGTTGTTCGCGAACATTTCGCCCTTTAAATCACTCATTGCTCAGATTCTCTCTCGCACGCGTCCTCCCTCTCACTTTACATATCAGCCTCCCTCTCTCACTCCGACTGTCGTGGGAAACTTTTCGAAAGGTGAGTTCAATTGTTTATGTGTCTGTGCGAGGCTGCGTCGATGTCTGCTTGTCCGTCCGTCCCCCCCCCACCACCCCCCTCAAAAAAAGGGCATGTTCATTACGTTGCGTAGAGACTGCAAATTTTATTATTAAATTATCACCCAGCCCACTGGCACCTTTCCTTCTTAATCTTGATTATCGCATATTTATACTTTCACTTTCTCCTCCGTTATGTCACACTCATTTCCGCATCCCTTATCGCTAGAAACAGCCGTCACGTAGAGAGCCTCGGTGTCGTCCACTTTATTTCGGTCCGATTAAATTCTTTTTTTTTTTCAATAAAATGCGATCGACTACTTGATTAATGTTACGTGGCCATATAGCTGGTATATATATGTATATTGTCGCATAATGGTCGGAATGGGGCTGGGGGTAGATTCACAAGGGGATAGCGTGGCTAAGCCATTACATATATATATATAAGGCAATGGAGACGCACGTATCGGAACGTTTTAGGGATGAATTCGTACCGGTATATTTATTAATTGTCCAAGTCGACTGATCAATATTTATGATGTTAGCAGAAAAATAATTTACCTTTGTCTTATCCGTGTATAACGATAAGACCAACCTCCGGGCACATGTCCTTCGAGTCATGACGTCACTCGCGGTAACGTGCTACGAGAACCACCGGGAGTCACCACCCACCCCTCCCGGAAACATATTTGCCACCCCCCTCCCCCCACCTCACAGAAGCAAAGCACATAATTCAGGGGTAGTTTTAGCAACCCCGTGGATTTTCGGAAGGACGCATTACTTTCTATCATCCCTTAAATGAATTTGCTGCCGAATCCACCCTCACGTTTCTGTTGCAAACGCGTAACCCCTCAGCCACTCGAAACCACCAAACGCTAAATGATAAATCGTCACGAGTCCGACCGCCTACGTGCACGCGTACGTATAAGCGCATACATTCCTGCTAATGTATTCTTTTCTACCGAACAAAAGATAACCGGTAGGTAACGCGCGGTCCTGGGAGAGGAATAAGGGAAAAAATAAGAGCGAAGAAAGGTAACGGAGGAACGGAACGGAGGAAACAAGAGGAACGAGGAAAACGAGAGAAAAGAAAGTCCTCGACTATGCGAAACCCTTAAATAAAAGCGGAGTGGCTCTCGCGAGAAATAGAGAGGCCAGAGGCTAGAGAGAAAGAAGGAAAAGGGGTGCGGGAGAGGGGGGGACAGAGAGAGAGGGGGAGGATTTTACCAGGCGACTTTGCGGTTACGGCTACTGCAGGCACTGCGTGCAGCGCATACCAGGCTGTCGGCCGTGTCTCTATCCGATAGAGCAGCAGTCTGGCTGCCAGTGGATGCAGCCACGGCCCGTGGCGGTTTGAATTTATGAAATTCGAAATGCCCGCGAGCGTTCGAAAAATCGAAACTTTTCTATGGAGCGACGCCAATGAGTTTGCTCGGGCGACGGTCCATTAGA